CTCCGCGACATGCGCGCGAGGACCGGGCGCTGAGTGGCGCTGAGTGGCGCGATGGTGGCGCGCGGGGTCCGGGGCCCCGGCTGGGGGCTGCTGCTGGCGCTGGCGCTGGCTCTGGCCGGGCTGCCGCGGGCGCGCGGCGTCGAGGAGGAACCAGGCGCTCACAACTCGATCGAGGGTTTCCAGGTGGTCACCTTCAAGTGGCACCACGTCCAGGACCCGTACATCATCGCCCTCTGGATCCTGGTGGCCAGCTTGGCCAAGATCGGTAAGCGCCGCTCCCCGGGGCGCCGTCCTACCTGGCAGACTGAGCCAGGAGCGGAGACCACGGCCGGGCAGCCGTGCGCCCAGGGGATAGAGCCGGGTGTCCGCCTCCTGCTCTCTAAGGGGTGTGCGCGCCGGCTGCGCTGGCCGCGGGGCTCGGTTCCGAGGGGTGCCGCCGTCTGGGCCTGGAGTTCTCGGGGTGAGGTCCGCGAGGTTCGGGGCGAGGAGTCGCGAGAGCCGTGGGTGCGCGGTCAGAGCCTTGGGCCGCGCAGCTTGCTTGGCGGGCGCGCACGGCCGCATCGCCACCTCTCTGTGCATTCCGCTGGGCTTTCGCATGTGCAGCTCTGGGGGACGTCCTTGTCGCGTGGTACTGGGGTGACAGCTTTGTTTGTAGTGCACAGGAAGGGAAGAGCGGCATCCGAGACAGAAACCCAGGGAATTCTTGATTGGGGGTGGGGCACTCCCCCTGGGCTCTGGCCAGGCCTGGGCCCTCTCCTGCTTTGGCAGGTAGAGTGGGTTTCTCCCCAACTCCCGGCAAGGTGACAGCAAGGTCAGCTGTCCTCAGAGTGTACAGGATCCAAGTTTCCACGGGTGGCTGTGGGCAGGGTCCTACCTGGGGCACTGTGTGTGTGTTTTGGGGGGTGCTCTTATTTATTAAGTGGAGGGGAGGGGGCTCCTTGGTGGCCAGACAAGACCACAGCAGTGATTCTGAGGGAGGTTTCGGAAGGTTTGGAAATAGGGAGAGGGAGGACAAGGGAACAGTCTCTTCTGAGGATGGAGAGTCCTGGTCTTAAAGTGGAGGGTGGCTTGGGGGACAGGTTCGGGGGTCCTTTGCTCTCTGGGGTACCTGGTCAAAAGTACTTGGCTGCACTGCCTGGGATCTGCCCCACTTACACCAGGGACCTCCCTCCCTGTAAGGCTCCTGCAGCCTCCGGGGCCTCAGTTCCCCAGTCCCTGTGGCTCTCTCTTTGTCACCTGGGAGAGGCAGGGTCGAAGGCTCTGCCTCCCACCCACCCCTACCAGATACTCAGGTGCTCCTCTCTGATCAGACTCAGCCAGGCTCCTCTGTGCAAACGCTCTCTCCATCTGCAAAGCCCAGATCAGGGCAGAGCAGCTCCGGCCTGGCAGGGAGAGGAGGAGGGGTGCGGCAGTCACCTCTAAGATCTCCTTCTCCCACTACTAATGACTCTCCCTGCACCCCTCCCATGGGGGCCTGGCACCCCCCAGGGACTCCCCCTGTACCCTTCCTGTGCAGGCCTGGAGGTCTCCCCTCAGTGACTCAAGTGACCCCTCCCATGGGAACCTGCAGGTCCCCCCACCAAGTGACCCCTGTCTTCCCTTCCAGTGTGAGCCTGAAGCCCCCCCCCTCCCGATCATCCATGCACCCCTCCCATGAGAGCCTGGAGGCTCACCCCCTAGCAGTTTCCCATACCCCCCTCCTGTAGCAGCCTGCAGGCTCAAACCCAGAACAGAGCGTCCCATGGGGACAGAACATCGTCTTTATCAGCTGCACGTTTCTTATGCTGACTCCAGGAATCCAGGAGTCACCCTGAGACCAGGGGGATCCACAGCCTCTAGGGTCAGCGCCAGGGACACGAGGCGCCCATTCCTGTGCCGTGGACACGAGGCGCCCATTCCTGTGCCGTGAGTGTGTGCTACCAGTGCACAGTAGGCCGCTGCTGGCTCAGATGGTGCAGGGTGGGATGGGGTGGTGGTGGCAGTGGCTGGAGAAGGGCTGGGCCTGAGGATGCTGCTCCCCCAGTGCCTCTGCCCAGCATTGTGCTATGTCTTGAGGGGGAGGCCCTAGAGTGGTTGGCATAGCTCCAGTCCCTGGCACCCGTGGTGGTGATGGGGTGGAGGGAAGCCCTTGCTCGTGGGCCCCTGGTGCTCCTGGTTAAGTTAATGCGTGGAATGAGCCCTGCCCCAGTAGGCACCTTGCCCAGTTGGTTGCCCCTCCTCGAGGGGGCCAGAGCGAAGTGCTGGGGGTGGGGGATTGGGGGTGGCTCCAAACAAACAGGAGCTTGGGGGGACCCCAGTGGAACTGGCCAGGCTGCCCTGGACACCCTTGGCCTGGCCTGACCACAGGCTTGTTGGGATTGGCCCTGCTGTGGGGGATGAACTTCACTTGGTGGACCCCAGGTAGCTGTCCCTCCCGCATCAGGCCTCAGCACCCATAGTTGTTTAGCTCCCATATTTCTTGTGCTCTCACCCACCCCATGCCCTGCCAGGTCCCCAGACCCTTCCTTGGGCCTCTCCCTTGGGTTCTGCAGAGCCCACACCTGACCCTCTCTCTGACCCTGCTTCAGATGTCAGTGGTCCCAACATGTTGCCCCAACCCCCATCCCTGGTCCCTTAGCTACCTTCCACCCTGTACCTTCCATGGCCCTGTCCAGGGTCCCCAAACATGCACAGCTGCCACCAGCTCACAGCACCTGCCAGACGGATGCCACCCCCAACATCAAAACTCAGCAAACAAGCCAAACCCATTGGGGTCTCACCTGAGGCCTCCTCACTGCTCCCAGAGCCACCACAGTGGCCAGCATACCCCCACCCTCCACCCCCCGACTGTGTACCACACACAGCCCGCCCCTGGTCTCTGTCCTGTCCACACACACCCAGAATTTCCCGATAGGCTGGCAGCCCCACCTTCTCCCCTCTCCTCTCCTGGCCTCCCCCGACCCTGGAGGAATTCAGAACTGACCCTCAGATCAAGGCTGAGCGCCTGCTTCCCCAGGGAATCATCCCTGCACCTCAAGTCTGTGCTTAGGGGTTGCCGGCTGTCCCAGCCTTTGTGGGGTGTCCCACACCCCTATTTTAACACCGAAGAGGTGTGGGTCACCTCCCTGGGGTGGGAGGTAAGATGGGGGTAGGTGCTGGACCTGGCTCATTTGGCCTGTAAACTGCTGAGTGGATCTCCGCACAGTCTGATGTCAACCAGAGGGGGGGGCCAAGGGCCCAGTCTCAGTCTCAAGGTGGTAGGCCTGGGGGCAGGGGCACAGGAGGAGCAGCTGTGGCCACCACTTTACCAGCACTTCTGGGGGGCCCAAGGGGGGCCAGTCCCTTGGTGGTTCAGGGGTGGGAGCAGCCTCCTGGAGCTCAGCTGGCAGTGGAACTGGGCCCCCATGAGTGGGGGAGGGGTCCTCTCCCTGGACTGGTCTGGACCCCCATGCCCTCTGGGCACCTGGCTGAAGCCCCCTCTCAGTCTTCCTCACACCAAGGCTGCCTTGGTCACTGGGGTGCTTCTCCCAGATGAGGGCCCAGAAAGGAGGCAGGGGTGGGGGAGGAGCTGGATGGCAGGCTCTGAGGACTTTGTCCCTGCGTGGGGCTTCAGGAGGAGTTGGGCCCGGTCAGCTCTGGTTCTGGCCCATGACCCTGGAGGGAAGGACACTGAGGGGACACTGGGGACTGACCAGAGCAGCATGTGGCCCTCGGGGCCCTGTGGGAACGTGGGAGAGGGGTCAGCTATTCAGAGGGTCGGACACACCCACCCTCTGGGTGTTCTCTCCTACCCCACCCACCCCCTCTGCGCTGCTCTCACTGGTCTGAGCCTGGGGACGGTCCATGCAGCCCGAAGACCCCAGCTCACACTGGCTAGGGACAGAGGGTGAGGGGCAATGGGCAGAGGTCACCTGGGCCCGTGGGACCCTCATCTCAGGCTGGGGGAGCTGACACCTCATGTGTTCTGGCTGTTTGCTAACTCATGAGTTAGGCGGACCTCAGGAGGTGGCCAGAGACACTCCCAGGGGCCTGTTTGCCATGAAGAGGGCTATGGAGCTTATGGCTGGGGCTGGTGGGACCCCCAGTGATGAGAGGTGAGCTTGTGAAGGTCCCATGAAGGGACACAGTAGATTGGGACTCCTGAGCTGAGTGACATGGACAGGGGTGTGGCAGAGGGCAGATGGAGCTTCGAGGGAGCTGATGGGGATCAGGGGGCCGCTGAAGGTGGGAGACAGGGGCTAGTGGCGCTTTGGAAGGAGAGCCTGCCTCATGGCTGGCAGGGGGCCCTGGGGACCAGCAAGTATGACCCCAAGGACTGGGCTGAGTCCCTGGGTGAGGGTCCTGTGATTGAGCGGGGGATGCTGAGACCGGTGCTCTGTCAATATGGTGACCTGTGTGCTGTGCCCTGACTGTGGGCTCTGGGTGCTGGGCGTCCCCAGGCCCTGTCTGGAGGCTGTGGGTATGCAGGTTGTGCCCATCTCCTGGACGTCCTGTACTGTGGTCCTGGAGGCCCTGACCAGAGCCTCCCACCTGGCCTGCATCCCACACCCATTGTTCCTCTCCCGCCGTCTGAGGGGCTGCGGGGCTGGGCCGCCTCCTGCAGAGGCAGTTGTCACCCACAACTAGACACTCCTTAAGTGACCCCGCCAAGGGATCCCCAGACTGACCACAGTCTTCAGGAGCCAGGATGAGCAGTGAGAATTCTCCAGAGAAAAAGAGTCAGAGTTCCCAGTGGACCTCAGACCTTCTAGAAGAGAAGCCAGAGCCCCGCATGGACCCCGCGCTCCTGGGAAAACAAGAGCCTGAGTCCTGAGTGGACCTAGTCTTCCCAGGAGTGTTCCCAGTGGACCACATCCTCCCAGGAGAAGAGGAATCTAAGCCCCCAGTGGACCCTGTCCTCCTGGTAGAGGAGGAGTCCAGGCTGGAGCCGAGGCCTCTCCCTGAGTCCCCGTGGCAGGTTTTGAAGGTGTAAAGTCCCATTTTCTGGAACTGCCCCGGAAGGAGCTGCAGCTGTAAAACAGTAGGAGCAGAAGCAGGGCCCAGGAGCCGTCTGAGAAAGGGGACAAAGGTCGGACAAGCTGATAGCACCAAGGGTCAGTACACGGTGACCCGCCATCCCTGTGGTGAATTCCCAGAGCCAACTTCCCGCCAACAGTGCCAGGCGATGCTGGTCTCCTTAGGGCCAGGCTCTCTGGGCACTTGCTGGCTGGCAGCAGGCGGCCTGTGTCTCGGACCTTGAGCCTAGCACTTACCTCTAGTGGGTGTGGCAGCTCCAGTGTCCTTGTT